GGCACCACTTTTTCTTTGTCTTCCTTGGCACCACTTGTTCTTTATCTCCCTAGGCACCACTTGTTCTTTGTCTCCCTAGGTGTCACTTGTTCTTTGTCTCCCTAGGCACCACTTGTTCTGTGTCTCCCTAGGCACCACTTGTTCTGTGTCTCCCTAGGTGCCACTTGTTCTGTGTCTCCCTCGGCACCAGTTGTTCTGTGTCTCCCTAGGCACTACTTGTTCTGTGTCTCCCTAGGCACGACTTCTTCTTTGTCTCCCTAGGTGCAACTTGTTCTTTGTCTCCCTAGGTGCCACTTGTGCTTTGTCTCCCTAGGAACGACTTGTTCTTTGTATTCCTAGGCACCACTTGTTATCTGTCCCCCTAGGCACCACTTGTTCTTTATCTCCCTAGGAACGACTTGTTCTTAGTCTCCCTAGGCACCACTTGTGCTTTATCTCCCTAGGAACGACTTGTTCTTTGTATTCCTAGGCACCACTTGTTATCTGTCCCCCTAGGCACCACTTGTTCTTTATCTCCCTAGGAACGACTTGTTCTGTATCTTCCTTGGCACTACTTGTTTTTTGTCTCCCTAGGTGCGTCTTGTGCTTTGTCTCCCTAGGAACGACTTGTTCTTTGTATTCCTAGGCACCACTTGTTATCTGTCTCCCTAGGCACTACTTCTTCTTTGTCTCTCTCGGCACCACTTGTTCTGTGTCTCCCTAGGTGCACTTGTGCTTTGTCTCCCTAGGAACGACTTGTTCTTTGTATTCCTAGGCACAACTTGTTATCTGTCCCCCTAGGCACCACTTGTTCTTTATCTCCCTAGGAACGACTTGTTCTTAGTCTCCCTAGGCACCACTTGTTCTTAGTCTCCCTAGGTGCCACTTGTGCTTTGTCTCCCTAGGCACCACTTGTTCTTTGTCTCCCTAGGCACCATTTGTTCTGTGTCTCCCTAGGCACCACTTGTTCTGTGTCTCCATCGGCACCAGTTGTTCTGTGTCTCCCTAGGCACCAGTTGTTCTTTGTCTCCCTCGGCACCACTTGTTCTTTGTCTCCCTAGGCACCACTTGTTCTTTGTCTCCCTCGGCACCACTTGTTCTGTGTCTCCATCGGCACCAGTTGTTCTGTGTCTCCCTCGGCACCAGTTGTTCTTTGTCTCCCTCGGCACCACTTGTTCTTTGTCTCCCTCGGCACCACTTGTTCTTTGTCTCCCAAGGTGCCACTTGTCCTTTGTCTCCCTAGGTGCCACTTGTTCTTTGTCTCCCTAGGTGCCACTTGTTCTTTGTCTCCCTAAGCACCACTTGTTCTTTGTCTCCCTAGGCGCCTTTTGTTCTTTGTCCCGTAAGCCACCACTTGTCGTTTTTCTTCTTAGGTAACACTGGTTAACCTAGCTGTTGTCATTATGATATGACCCGGCTGTAGTGTCATGCTACCTTGACCAGGTAATGACGTTTTAGTGATCCGACACTCCGAAGTGGACCTTGACTGGCCTGTCATCGGCGGACTTCGTCTATATTGGTTGTAAACTTTTGTTTCTTTCTGAATACAAACGTTTACATTTCAGTTTACATAATTTTTGTTTTCAGAAACAGAATCAAGAAACAAGCTGATGAAACCTACATAAATCCGTTTTCTATAGATGGAGATAAACTACGTGAAAATATATGGACAGTATATCATAAAGAAACGTATAGTTCACCGTGGAATTAAAGATTGTTTTATCATAGTGAGGGGAGAGAGGTAAGGAAGGCGGTGCAGTCAAAATTGTTTGCTAATTGAATAACAGATATATTTCTCCTTAAAACACATAGATACATATACATACTGATATATAGAGAATAATACATGCCTTTTTCCATATCACACCCAGTATCAACCCGAGACTGCAGTATCAGCCCAAGGGCTGATATTGCAGTCTCGGGTTGATACTATGATTTTTTTTTTTTTTTTTGAAATATTGAAAAACTATTTTTTTTCCAAAAGGGGTGTGATATGGGTTTTGCGGGCTGATACGGGTGGCGAGGGCTGATATGGGTAAGAGCGATTGTGTCGTATCGCATATACAAAAAAAAACGTATTTATTCGTAAGTATGTAATAAATTATTATTATGCGTAACAATTACAGACAGCAGTCTTCATTTGTATCAAACTCTGAACAAGCAAACAATCATGTTCTATCCTGGAACTACATAATAATGATGCGTGTATAAATTGAAGTATATAAAGAAAATATTTTTATTTTAAATACACATTTTCTATTTAACAGTATATCCCGGAACGATCTAGAAATCTGAGGTTGTATTTTATGTATTGGCGTTCGGTCGATTCCTACCTCAGCCGGAAGCAGATTGATTTGTCCTATTTACAGATAGGAATGGCCCGTCTCCGGATTATGTTCAACTGTATTCTGCCTGGGGAAATGCAGTGGAAATTCGTCGCATAATATAGAAATGTTTTTAATCGACATATCAAAAGAAATAATATTATCATTCTCAAATAAAACGATGATGTTATTATTTACGAGACAGAGAGATAATCATTTGGTCATTGTTTTTAGTGTACCTGTATTCTACGCTCGTTATGTTCTGTCATTACGAACATTAAAGAGAAATATTACGATAATATATATAATCAAAGGATTTGTACATTGTGTTATTGTGGGCGTTTTACGATAAATGTAAAATAAACTCTTTTATATTTGTTTAATTATTTTGTCCGTAAAACATGTTTAAAGTCAACCTGCTTTATAATACGCTTATCAAACACCACTATACATGTATACCGTTATAACAAGAAAAACTATGGTCATCTTTATTTCGCTATTGACTAACATCGCCATGCCTGTATGCCGTTATAATATGATATTGTATTGTCTATAAACCGTTATTATACGATACTTTATTATCTGTAAACCGTTTTATATGCTATTAGTTTGTCTGTGTACCGTTATTATATGATATTTTATTATCTGTATACTGTTATTGCAAACATCGTTTTGTATGTATACCGTTATTATAGAATATTGTATTGTCTGTATATCGTTATTATATGATATTTTATTATCTGTATACCGTTATCATATGATATTTTATTATCTGTTGATCATTATTATATTACCTCATTGTCAATATACCGTAATTATATAATATTTTATTATCTGTATCCCGTAATTATATGATATATCATTATCTGTATACCGTTATTATATGATATTTTTTTTATCTGTGTACCGTTATTATATGATATTTTATTATCTGTATACCGTTATTATTATATGATATTTTATTATCCATATACCGTTATTGAGAAAAATAGTGGTGTCTTTATGCTCTTTCGTTACTCGTTGACCGTTTTCATAAGACCTATTAGTTTACAGTTAATTACAGTACTACTAGTGTTTTACTTTAGATATATCACACACACAAAAACACGTTTTTCCATTCAGTAAATCAATCCTTAAAATGCTTTTACAACTAGGCGTTATGTCATAATTTTGACATATGTTTTTCAACGTAAACATTGTCTCTCCCAGTGTCAGATATGACAGGCACTCCTGTCGGTATGACACCATACATAATTATAAAGTATCTCCTGAAGACGGAAATGCTGACACAAGATATAATGATAAAGCTTCATTACAGATTTGCACTGATTCGTGTACACTATGAAGGCAATGTGATAGCCCACAGGTATCGTACTGGCTTTGAGTTTTGATTTCTGATCTGTCAGAATTCCATTAATATTAGGGTGGTTACAGCACCTCGTGACAAAGGAGAATCTGACTCGCGCGACGGTAAGTCAGTCCCTAAGCTTTCCTCTGGGCCCTAGTTCGATTTACAATGACCACCGTATGTCATGTTTATATTGCTCGAGTTTGTTGATAGCTTGACTTACTCCTTGATACTTAAGATAATTCCAATCATTTTTGTTAAATTTTAATCCGCCTATTATTGTTTGGACTTGAAATTTCCGGGCGATTTAATCTACAGCTACAGAATTTAAACAATGTCAATCAAGCGAAAAATATCACAAGTCTACGGTCAGTTATAATCTCTCTAAGAATCCTTCTAGCACGTCTTGCTATTAACTCGATAACCAGTTGCCCACTTGACCTTGTGATGTGACAGATTCGAATATTCGGACACTATTGGTCAAGTGTTCTGACCAACATATGGTCACAGTCTTAAACCATATGGTCTGCACTACCGATGTGATGGTTAGGGAGTAAAGCTGCATACAAACAAGGGTCTGATTCAATGGTACAACGGTTGCGGAGAGACTCCATACATTAGTAATAACGTCAATGTTTAAAAGGATGTTTTGATAAAACAAAATGTTTGTTTCTAGTTTACGATAGTATGTATAGAGAATACGAACTATGCTCTTAGAGTTTAAGCAATTATGAAAATAGAAAACGGTTTGTGTTATCTTTAAATCGAACGGAAAATTTGTCCAATATTGTAGACATTATGAATTGCAGAAGTTTAGGATTTAAAAAGAACACGAATCTTTGTAACATTTATACACAATAAGTATGTCAATTGTTTACTGGAAACCTCTTTAGTACAGCTGTTGTTCGTTCCAGGCTAAAAGTGGATGGATAACGTACTTCGATGCTGGAACCATTTTGTGCAGAAAAAGGGAAGATTGTTTTACAAAACATTGACTTTGTAACGGAATAAGTTGACAAATGATGGCTGTATAATGGGACAACCAGACTGGTGATGACTGGATAGCGAGACAACCGGACTGGTGGTGGCTGGATAGCGAGACAACCGGACTGGTGGTGGCTGGATAGCGAGACAACCGGACTGGGGTGGCTGGACAGCGAGACAACCGGACTGGTGGTGGCTGGATAGCGAGACAACCGGACTGGTGGTGGCTGGATAGCGAGACAACCGGACTGGTGGTGGCTGGATAGCGGGACAACCGGAATTGGGTGGCTGGACAGCGGACAACAGGACTGATGGTGGCTGGATATTGGGACAACCGGACTGGTTGTGGCTGAATATCGGGACAACTAGACTAATGGTGGATGGATAGCGGGACAACAGGACTGGGGTTGCTGGACAGCGGACAACCGGACTGGGGTGGCTGGATAGCGAGACAACCGGACTGGTGGTAGCTGGATAGCAGGACAACCGAACTGGGGTGGCTGGAAGGCGGACAACCGGACTGGTGATGGCTGGATAGCGGAGAAACGGACTGGGTGGCTGGATAGCGGACAACCGGACTGGGGTGGCTGGATAGCGGACAACCGGACTGGGGTGGCTGGAAAGCGGAGACACGGACTGGGGGTAGCTGGATAGCAGGACAACCGGACTGGGGTGGCTGGAAAGCGGACAACCGGACTGGGGTGGCTGGAAAGCGGAGAAACGGACTGGGGTGGCTGGCTAGCGGAGCAAACGGATTGGTGGTTGCTGGATTGCGGAACAAACGGATTGGTGGTGGCTGGATAGCGGAACAACCGGAATGGGATGGCTGGAAAGCGGACAACCGGACTGATGGTTGCTGGACAGCGGACAATCTGACTGGGTGGCTGGATAGCGAGACAACCGGACTGGTGGTAGCTGGATAGCGGGACAACCGAACTGGGGTGGCTGGAAAGCGGACAACCGGACTGGTAATGGCTTGGAAGCGGAGAAACGGACTTGTAGTGGGTGGATATTGGGACAACCGGACTGGTTGTGGCTGTATAGCGGCCAACCGGACTGGTTGTGGCTGTATAGCGGACAACCGGACTGGGGTGGCTGGATAGCGGACAACCGGGCTGGGGTGGCTGGAAAGCGGACAACCGGACTGGTAATGGCTTGGAAGGGGAGAAACGGACTTGTAGTGGGTGGATATTGGGACAACCGGACTGGGGTGGCTGGAAAGCGGACAACCGGACTGGTAATGGCTTGGAAGCGGAGAAACGGACTTGTAGGGGGGGGATATTGGGACAACCGGACTGGTTGTGGCTGTATAACGGCCAACCGGACTGGTTGTGGCTGTATAGCGGACAACCGGACTGGGGTGGCTGGATTGCGGAACAAACGGATTGGTGGTTGCTGGATAGCAGAACAACCGGTATGGGATGGCTGGAAAGCGGACAACCGGACTGATGGTTGCTGGACAGCGGACAATCTGACTGGGTGGCTGGATAGCGAGACAACCGGACTGGTGGTAGCTGGATAGCGGGACAACCGAACTGGGGTGGCTGGAAAGCGGACAACCGGACTGGGGTGGCTGGATTGCGGAACAAACGGATTGGTGGTTGCTGGATAGCGGAACAACCGGAATGGGATGGCTGGAAAGCGGACAACCGGACTGGGGTGGCTGGATTGCGGAACAAACGGATTGGTGGTTGCTGGATAGCAGAACAACCGGAATGGGATGGCTGGAAAGCGGACAACCGGACTGGGGTGGCTGGAAAGCGGACAACCGGACTGGGGTGGCTGGAAAGCGGACAACCGGACTGGTAATGGCTTGGAAGCGGAGAAACGGACTGGGGTGACTGGATAGCGGAGAAACGGACTGGGGTGGCTGGATAGCGGAGAAACGGACTCGGGTGGCTGGCTAGCGGACAACCGGACTCGGGTGGCTGGCTAGCGGAGCAAACGGATTGGTGGTTGCTGGATAGCGGAACAACCGGAATGGGGTGGCTGGAAAGCGGACAACCGGACTGGGGTGGCTGGATTGCGGAACAAACGGATTGGTGGTTGCTGGATAGCGGAACAACCGGAATGGGATGGCTGGAAAGCGGACAACCGGACTGGGGTGGCTGGATTGCGGAACAAACGGATTGGTGGTTGCTGGATAGCAGAACAACCGGAATGGGATGGCTGGAAAGCGGACAACCGGACTGATGGTGGCTGGATTGCGGACAACCCGACTGGTTCTGACCTACATAGCTGACAAACGGACTGGGCATGGTTGAATAGCGAAACAATCATCTTCGTGGTATTCTTACGATATTCATATATACATATTTGTAACCTTTTCTTTTATCCTTATATTTCATGTCTCCACATAAATGATTATTATCATCAATGTATTGCATACAATATACAACGACATGGAATATATTATATTTTTGTATATGTTGTAACAAAGCGGACTGAATACGTCCGGAAAACATGTTTCCAATTCGTCTGAATATTTAGTTTATAATGAGTAAACTATACACAGCCTTTGGAAATATGAGTCAGTTTTTAACAGCCTTTACGACATAATGAACAAATGGATCTGTAATAATTTACAAAATAGTCCAATTGCAATACACACATTATATATAATTATGATAATAAACAAAAGCTAACTATAATAATAAACAAAAATTAAATATACAAGGAATAATGAAATGTGATATCAGCAATAGTGAACAAAAAATGTCAGTTATAATAAACAAAAGATTCCAGTTACATGTATGATAAACAAAATATTAGTAATAAAAATAAAAATAAACTACCTGTTAACTTTGAACAGACAACACCAATGATAATAAGCACATATTGTACCCTAAGGAAAATATAATAAAGACATTATACCATTTCAAATAAACACTTAAAACGTGTACTAGTTATAATAAAACCATGGTACCACTTAGAATATATTCTACCAAATACTAGCAATGGTAAAGTATAACACTTGTTTTAAGTCATAATTAGATAAACAAATAAACAATAATAACTAAAATTATACTCATATAATAAAATGTATATAAACACAATTAAAAACAGTTTTAATAAATGCATAATGCAACTACTGTATAAGAAATGTCCATTATAACCAGTTTTGGTAAATACATCTTGCCAGTAAGTGTAATGGTAAATACATAATAACTGTAATACATGTAAGAAATACATAATACCAGTAATGCGAAATGCATAATGTAAGTTATATAAATATATGATACCAGTGATAAGAAATACATAATACCAGTTATAAGAAATACATAATACCAGTAATAAGAAATACATAATGCGAGTATTAATATAAAATACGAACATCAGTAAGAAATACATAATACCAAACATCAAAAATACATAATATCCGAAAAAAGAAATGCATAATACCAGTAATAAGAAATACATTGATAATACCAGTAATAAGAAATACATTGATAATACCAGTAATAAGAAATACATTGATAATACCAGTAATAAGAAATACATTGATAATACCAGTAATAAGAAATACATTGATAATACCAGTAATAAGAAATACATTGATAATACCAGTAATAAGAAATACATTGATAATACCAGTAATAAGAAATACATTGATAATACCAGTAATAAGAAATACATTGATAATACCAGTAATAAGAAATACATTGATAATACCAGTAATAAGAAATACATTGATAATACCAGTAATAAGAAATACATTGATAATACAAGTAATAAGAAATACATTGATAATACCAGTAATAAGAAATTCATTGATAACACCAGTAATAAGAAATACATTGATAATACTAGTTATAAGAAATACATTGATAATACCAGTAAAAAAGAAATACATTAATAATACCAGTAACAAGAAATACATTATATATCTAAAATATCATTATTGAACATGTAATACTAGGTAAAGTAAACATAATACCTGTTATGTTAAACTCTTCATCATTTATTTTTAAACATATAATACAAGATAATAAACACATAATTCCAGTTGCAATAAAATATGTGTTACTTTTGCAAAATGCTAATAAACAACACTTTGTACGTGTTGCTTCATTGTGGTATGTTAATCCAACGAGCTTACGGCAAAACTTATTGCGTACATGCAAAATAGAACTGCCCCGCAGTTAATATATACATATTAATTAGGACTGTTCTTAGTTATGAATACGTAAAAGTTAATTAGGACTGCCCTGCAGTGAACCGGAAACAGTCTAGGAATAAAACCGATGATCACTAGTTTTTCTAATGAGAGATAAAATAAAGCCTTTGCGTCAAAGAATCAATGGATAATTTATCTAATAATTCCCAAATGTTTTTGGTGACTTTTGGATCAAAGTTTCCCGTCACAAATCGTTTTGATTTACGATTATTTTAAGGGCATGCCTCTAGGGAGCGCTATGTAAAATCGTGCGCGTGACCATGTTTGACGCTGTTTGCAATCATGCTAGCGGCCGCTACTGATGGTAAACGTACATACTTCAAAGAGTGCTGACGGTCGGAATAGCCTCGGAATGAATCATTTAGAATTGTATAAATCAGAAAAATAACGTGTCGCATCACAGAAAAAAGCACATGCTTAACGACTTCTGATTGCTTCAAAACCTCTAGATTATTGTTTGGAAACCTCTCAGCGAACGGACGGTAAGGCCAGAAGCGGATATGAATTTCTGGCTGGTAAAGTCCCTGACAAATCTTGCCTCTCCTAACCTAATAATCGTATCGTTCACAGAAAGAAAATTGGTTGCTTATGAAAAAGAAATACTAAAAAGAATTAAAACTTGCTATAAAGTGTTTTGGAAAGGCAGAAAATTGGACGTTTTGTTAAAAGCGCCCTCTGGCGTCATCGGCGGATGTCGACGCTTGAAGTGGCGTTGAAGTGGTATCCCGGCGCGTCGTGCGGTTACAGCAGTCCTGAACATGTGGAAGGGAGCGCACATTGGCGTGGTATCATGTCTGGGGAGGCGTCAGTTCGCCACTTTAAAGACAATACGTCAACGGGGCGTGAAATCGCTGCTCACTCGCCGTCACTTTTACAGAACCAGGCTGACGTGAAGAAACTGATGCCGTCTGAAGCATGTACAGCGACAGGGATCGACCTGAAATGTCTAAAAACGGATTATCGTGCATGTATCCTTTAATGTTTTCTTTTTAATTATATTTGTGTAGATGTACTGGAATTTTTTTATGTAATTTAGTCACTTTGTATATATATATATATATATTTTAAAAAAACCCACTATTTATTAGAACAAATTCAGTGTGATCGGTATAAAATAAACAAAAAAAACAAACATATCCAAATCGTCTGTTGCAAGATTTACTTTCGCCCATCACGGAGCTTTTCTGTCAATCTGTAAGGCTATTGACATTCGGAGTATATAAGCAAAAGGGTATTCATGCGGCGATAGTAACTGTGAGGATATATTGTATCCCCTGCAAACTCTCTGAAGAGATGATAATGTTCTCTAGCACTATCACCTCATCAGAAAGTTGTTGTCATGGGAAATATATCCTAAAACGAGACTTTCTTCTGTTGGATACGCGGGAATGGTTTCTAATGAGTTTATCGTCTACGGTTAATACTGTCGAAAAGTGATCAAAATTATCTAGCTAGCCCTCCATGAAAAAATTCATTGCTGTCTTGTTGAGTACAAACTGTATTATATGAGCATTGCCACGCCCCTTGGAACTGAGTTCAGATTCCATTGTCGTTATTATTGAGACCGTTAACGGAGCTGTATTAAGTCGACCCTTGGTCAGTATTTTTTATCTCACACACGCGCCGGTATTCCATTTCACAGTGTGCTAAACCGCCGTGCAAACTATGACTAGATCGTCACAATATTAATATCAAGCCATCTTTTTTCGAAATAATTGAATTTCAACTCGAGGCCGGTTCTCATTACAAAGTGGAACAGACGCTTGAGGCAAACGTTCGGGTAATGTCTACCGAATACTCGCTCTGACGGGGAAAATATATTGAAAATTAATACAATCAACTACAAAGTTGTTATAATATAACGACATTTGTTAAACTCTTTTTGTCTATGCAATAAAGACAAAACTCAATTTTCTCTGCTAATATATTTTACGAACATCTCTTGTTCAGCGTGAATGCTAATTTCAATCTACTCCACACATATATCGAACAGTCTTATTCATTATTACTGCGATCAAAAACTTAAGTGGGTAGGAAGAACACAGCATTTCAGAACATTTACCAGGCGGGTAGGTGTAATACAGGGGGATAGCACATTTATTAGGTTGAGACGGGAAGGTGTAATACAGGGGGATAGCACATTTACTAGGTTGAGGCGGGTAGGTGTAATACAGGGGGATAGCACATTTACTAGGTTGAGACAGCTAAGTATAATACAGGGGGATAGCACATTTACTAGGTTGAGACGGGTAGGTGTAATACAGGGGGGTAGCACATTTTCTAGGTTGAGACGGGTAGATGTAATACAGGGGGGATAGCACATTTTCTAGGTTGAGGCGGGTAGGTGTAATATAGGGGGATAGCACATTTACTAGGTTGAGACGGGTAGGTGTAATACAGGGGGATATCACATTTACTAGGTTGAGACAGGTAGGTGTAATACAGGGGGGTAGCACATTTTCTAGGTCGAGACGGGTAGATATAATACAGGGGGGATAGCACATTTTCTAGGTTGAGGCGGGTAGGTGTAATATAGCGGGATAGCACATTTACTAGGTTGAGACGGGTAGGGGTAATACAGGGGGATAGCACATTTACTAGGTTGAGACGGGTAGGTATAGAACAGAGATAAAGAGCATTTATTGAGACGGGTAGGTGGAGAACAGTGATATATAGAATATTTACTGAAACGGGAAGGTGGAGTAGAGATATAGAAAAGTAACTGAGACGTGCAGGTGGAGAGGAGACATAGAACAGTTACTGAGACGGGTAGGTGGAGTAGAGATATAAAACAGTTTCTGTGACGGTTAAGTGGAGTACAGCGGTATAGAACAAAAACTAAGACGGGTAGGTGGAGTACAGATTTAAAGAACAGTTACAGAGACGGGTAGGTGGAGTACAGAGATACATGTTTATAGGACAGTTACTGTGACGGGAAGGTGTAGTAGAGATATAAAACAGTTACTGTGACGGGCAGGTGGAGTACAGAGATATAGAACAGTTACTGTGACGGGTCGGTGGAGTACACAGTATAGAACAGTTACTGTGGCGGTAAGGTGGAGTACAGAGATACATTTTTAT